GCGGGGGGGCAGAGCTGGGTTTGTTTTTATGAAAAGACTCGTCGTTGTGCTCTTGAATGAAGAGTAAACAGAGAGGAACAATCAGGCCTGATGGATGGTTTTTAGGTTTTTTTAGAAATACGTCTGATTGTGTCAACATTGTTATTTGTTATAAACATAAAAGCTTCGAAGCAATTTAACACAAAATCCTGTTGAGCTCTTGAAAATGTGAAATTTGCACAAGTTAAATCAAAACAAACAGAATCAAACTTTAGGAAATAATTTGAGCACAAGCTGTAAACAAACGAACACAAAGACAGTTCGTCCTTTTTAACGTTTTGGTCGACCTCTGACCCCTTAGAGCAGGATTATTCAACCGGCGGCCCAAAGTTCGGCCCGCCAATTGGTTCATTCATCTCTTGAGGCCAAACCTCCTGTTTTCTACTTTAATTACTCTAAGTTTGTTTAGTTCGACATAGACATGTTTGGTATCTACAGAAATGCCAGCTGGCTACAAGCTGGTAAAAACCATTTCTATAAACACTCAAGACATTTAAAACTGAAAGCAGTTGAAGATAAAACTATGAAAGTGAAAATAAAATTGGTTTAAAAATTTGGCAAATCAGAGATTTCAAAATATTATTTGCAGTAAAAAGGAGGCAGAATGTGTTCTTTTTGTTTTTGATGTTTTAATATCACTACTTTTATAGGGTTCTGTATGTTGTTTTCATGATTACCGTAATTATTCGAGTATAATACGTAAAATTTAATCCATAAAATCATCCATAAAGTTGGGAGGTAGTATTATACTCGGATAAATATTTTTATTTATGTATTTTAACTGAAATATCGGCAAAATTATTGAGTCCGGAAATGAGACCGTGTTGTAAAAATCAATTGAAATGAGCTCACCTCTGACACTCCTCCGTGCTTCAGAGTGAGATAATATCAGATCCAGGCAGGCGACATGATGTGAAAAAAAGGGGGGGGGAGTAGTCCTGTACCTTAGTAATGATAACAAACTAATGACATTAGCGTGTGACCGAGCCGCTCCTCAAACAACAACAAACACGTTTGTCAGTAATGGCTGCCGTCTACCGGTGTTCTGAAAAAGTTTGTATCCCTGAAAAAAGTTTCCCCACCAGAGGGGGGCGCTCGAGAGTAGGAAGTAATCTGCTTGTATCTGCTTGAAGATGGTCCAAATCTCATGTGGTCTCTGACCTTTGTGTTGGCGCCTCCTGGTGGACTATGTGTAAAATGCCAGAATTCATATGATGCTGCTACAGCTGATATATATTTGTTGTCAAAATACCTTTTAGTACATATGTTGTTAAAATAAAATGAACAGTCCAATGATTATTTTACTGATATGTATAAAGACTGCAAAGGCTGAAAAATACTGAAGTCTGTATGAAATTGGAGGTAGTTTGAGGATTAAATTTTTTATGCTTTTTAAGCTCAAAAAAGCGGGGGTCGTATTATACATGAGATCGTATTAGACACGAATAAATACGGTAATTGCAGCAAAATAAACCATTTCAAAGGTAACAGATCTTTGTAATTCTTGGTTTAATTACAGAATGACTAGGATGTTCGGCCCCTCAGCTGTTGCTCTGCAGTAACTGTGGCTCTCGGAGTAGTTTAGTTGAATATCCCTGCCTTAGAGTTAACCTGAACAGACTGAGCGAGGGTTAAAGTCAACCTGCTGCTGATATGCCGTCAGTATCAGTTCTGTCAGCGAGTCAAACGTCACTCAAAACAAAATCATTTCTGGCGTTTTGAGAAGCCCATTTTTGAAAATCAAGGCACAACTTGTAAAACTCTATTGTTGGTCGCGCACATTATTTCATCGCCCATTTCTGTTCACACAACCTGCTTCAGTTTATTTTTAACCTATGCTTTTAAAACAGTGGTGAACTGATTTGGACCACATTTAAAAAATTGTTAGTTTTTAAACTGGGCATGGGCAGCTTAAATGATGGAAGGGGCCACAGGTTTTTTGTTGACACTTATCAGAGGGACACATACTGCCCAAATATAACAAAACTTTCTTTTTAAAAACGTTTGAATATTAAACCAAAAACCTGCGTGGTACTGGTAAAAACTCCCTATTGTTTATGTACTTGCAACTTCCCATATTTAGCTTTGTGCAACTTGTAGTGGCAACTTATAATAAAATCCTTCATGGCAGACAGCGACTCTGAGCAGAATAAACAGGTTTGATCTGAAATTCGGTGAAAAGATAGTCTACCTCACATTTCAGCTGAAACATGATTTTATCTGTCTAGTTTTCTTTCCTCCGTCCTTAGCCACAGCTAAACGTCTCCTTTATGAAGTGGCGTCTGCGTTGGAACTTTATTACAGCCAATTAAGTGGCACTGAGACACTTTTAAACATTTTTGTAATTTTCTAAAATTTATCTAATCTTATTTTTTAATAAAAAGTTGTAAAAAAAATTGCGGACCGGACGGAAGTTACTCATGGGCCTGATGTGGCCTGCTGGCCACCAGTTGGCCGTTCCTTCTTTAAAAGCCCCGTCACACGTTTTAGACAACTTGTGAAAATTTTAAAAACATCTACGTTGAAGATGTTTTTTTTAACTCAACTGAAAGCTTCTTTTAGCCGTGTACACGCTGTAATGCTAACAAACTGATCAAATATCTAACTTTTATTAGTAATTTAGACATTTAAAAGATTATAAGTTGTGTAAAATGTCAGTGTGACAGCGCCTTAAATTAAGATCATTCTGACTGCAAGTAACACACTGACTAACCGCAAACCCTCAACATGACCCTGCCTAAACCTAAACAACTGCTCTGGGGAAACAAGCATGCTGGAGTTGTAGCTGCAGATGGTTTTAGAAAAAAGAAGAATGTCTCACGGAGGAATAAAGTCTGTGAAAACATGAACTCACGGGGAGAAGGTTTCCAACAATCCGTCCAGTTTTCAGATCCTTCATGCGTGTTTCCTGAGACGGATGAGCAGCTGGTGGCGGCGGGGAGGTTTATTTCACCCAGATGACTCAGCAGCAGCCTGTTAAGGCTGGAGGATGCGTGTCCTCGCAGCACAGGGAGGAGAGGTCGAGAGAAAAGCCCGCAGCACGGCCCGCCACCTCTCAGTTCCAGTCCAGCGCCTGAGGAAATGTAGCCTGATATTAGCCATTAAAGAGCAGATTGTCAGGGGAGCCGTGCCAGCTCTGACAGCAGCTGCACCGCGGAGCAGGGAGGCCAGAGGTTTCTTCACAGGCTCTCTGGTGTTCTTGTTGTTTTCCTCCACAAACAGCCTGCCGTCCCTTCGTTCCACAGCTGAAAAACAACTTCTTCCCTACGGCCTCTTGTATCTTCTTAGAAAAAAAAGATCTTTACAGACGTCAGAGAGCAGATTGATCTGCTGCAGGTGTTCTGACAGGTGAGGGCTTTAAGCCTGGTTCATACGGCAACATGATGCAGATTTTTGACCCCAGCTTTGGACAATCTGTCTAATTGCACAGATTATTTCACTTAATTTGAGAAGATTTAGACTCAAATTAAGTGAAATAATCTGCCAGTGCAGTAAGACAGTTGCCCTTGGTAAGAACAAGATTGCTAATCTAATTCTTGCATTTGCTTAGTGTATCTATAGAAGAGGATTAGGGCTACTGAAAAACAAAAAAAAACAACTCTGACTTTGTCCTGATGCATCTCAGTAATCCAGGTAAAAAAATCAAAAAGAAAAAAATTGTATAGGTCTTCTGGACAGGTTCTTCTCTAATGAAACGTTTCGTCTCTCCTCCAAGAGACTTCTTCAGTCTGAGAGTTTCAGGCAAAATTCAGGCTTTTAAGCACTGCCTCCATGTGACTGATACTCACATCACATGGCTATCATTGACACCTAATTAACACCTATTGTTAACAGGGGGTGGAGTGATACTGGCAATAGCCGCGCTGTAGGAGGGGGACAACTGAAAACGGAGGCCTCCACCTCTGTTTAATGATGGACGGTCTTTCTTCACAAAAATGGCTTCTTTTACTCCTCTC